TTGGCGATGAAGGTAGATGTGAGTACATCATCATCTTGCAGTACCTAGGGATGGCACCTTCCCGAGGAGCATTCAGAAGCCTCCAGAGTACAGCATTGGCAAAGTGTATCCAATCCTTCATAGGATCGGCACTACTGCTGTTGGTACTACCACTGGCCAGGAACGCCAGCCGCGATACCATACCACTCATCCGACTATTCGGAGAGTCTCCTCCGAGGATGACGTCCTCGAGAGCAGTCAATAACTGACAAGGCAGGAGTATGGTAGCAGTAGCTGTAGAAGGGCCTCTCACCTCACGGTCCATCACTCGAGCGGCTTCTCGCCAATCGCCAGCATTCATGTAGCAAACTGCTCCGGCCAGACCTGAGCACAGACCATCAGCAATTACCGAGTATGGCTACAGTTATACGGGAGTCTCTTGTGTGTAGTTCAAATCTCGGAGCCGCAGCCGACCACAACAAGGCGTTGAGGTCATCCTCTCCCATAAGGGCACTGAGAGCTGCTATCACCGGCTGAGGGAGTAATGCTTCTCTCGAACAGAACCTACACGTAGGGTCCTAGCCTGCATTGATGATGATGACGAGGAATAGACCTACACTGGAGTGCCTTGGTCATCTACGGGCTGGCTCAGGACAATGCGGCGAAAAGAGTCCGACGGTTGTGGCATATTACGGTAGAGCAGATCAGTCACCAACAGCTGGACACTCGATGAGGGCACCAGGAGGTACTCGCAGTATACCTACAAAGACAGAGGCGATTCGGGGAGGAAGAGGGCCAGCAACATCAATGAGCTCACCAGAGCTGCCCACTGCCAGAGACCAACACTTTCCAGCCACTGAGCCGTTACAGATGCCAACCGAGCTGCCGGCAGGGACTCCAAGGTTGCATCTAGAATGCTCATGATGATGATGGTGTACGAAAGCTGATGCGAATGGAAGGCTGACCTGCATCGATTGTCGTATAGGCGAGGTATGATAAGAAGGCGGTGAATGGCTCAGCTGTTGAGCAACAAAGTAGTGACTCGGCCAAGCTGAGGAGGAGGAAGACATGGCAGATACGACAACACCCAGTAGGTACCTATCGGGGGTGGCGATCCCTGCTCGAACTCTTAAGAGCTCCCACTCTATACCGGAGCCCTTGGCCACAGCTTTGATACTCTCCACGAGTGAGCTGAGAGGAACATGATGAACAGCAATGATGTGACTACAGCAGTTGACGACAACTTACTATCGCTTCCCGTCAGCCTTAGTGCCATAACAGTAGTATGCAGCGAACTTAGCGGTCCAGGTTGGGCAACGGCTGAGGACCTCTTCCGAATGAACCTCACCTGACAGAACTTCCAAAGCAGAGATCACTCTGTAAAGGTACCAACCTGCAAGGAGTCGGTACACCGCAGTGACAGTGTTCCCTTTGATGATCTCCCCAGGACTGTCCAACTTCCATTGGGCCAACTGCTGCTTGAGGAGGGATACCGTCCCTTCACCTACGACACCCGCCACGTTCCGTGTACAATCAAAATGATGACACTATTACTACTACTAGTAGTAGGACTACTACTACCACTACTACTATTTCCACTACTACTAAAAAAAGACTGCTGAACTACTGTCAGTCGATTCACAGGGGCTGATTTTTCACATCATCACAATTGAAAGCGTTATTCAAAACATATTGATTTGTACGGGATCGATCATAACTACTACTACTTCGTGCACTCTCCCAGTCTGCCGAATCGAAGCCTAGGATGGCAGCGATACGAGCCAGTCGGGGGTATCCCGCTGCCTGCATGGATCTGGATGCCTCTGCCACCTGAGCACACATCCTGGGGTATGAGCACACCTGTGGAGTGAGACTTACTTTAGTAGCCAAGAGCTGATGGAAAGCCCGCTCTAGAGGATCGGACCCAGAAGGGATGGGTAGGTTGATCTCCGACAACCAGG